GGCTGAGGCAGGACGATGGTTGAGCCCAGGAGGTGGAGGGTATGATCATGCCACTGTATTCCAGCCTAGGAGATAGTACAAGACCCTGTCTCAAAAAAAAAAGCGTATTCTTCTTCATATTCCTCTTCATCCAGTCCACACATACCGATCATGCACCACTGTCTCAGTCACTTTTCCTGCATGGAGCTTGCTGGGTACCTTCTCCATTCGGTAGAGTTCTACTAGGAAGTTGTAGGTTTGCTGCTAGGAAGTCGAGACGCTCTCATCTGATGGTTTCTGTGTGCTCTGAAGTAAGAAAAACAAAGTCAGCTCCTGAAAGGGCAAGAGGAAGTAGTAGAGTTGGGAGTTTTAAGATAAAGCTGGGCCAGGCGCAGTGGCTCACACCTGTAATCCCAGCACTTTGGGGGTCAAAGGTGGGCAGATCACCTGAGGTTGGGAGTTTGAGACCAGCCTGACCAACATGGAGAAACCCTGTCTCTACTTAAAAAAAAAAAAAAATTAGATGAGCATGCTGGTGCATGCCTGTAATCCCAGCTACTTGGGAGGCTGAGGCAGGAGACTCACTTGAACCCGGGAGACGGAGGTTGCACCATTGCATTCTAGCCTGGGCAACAAGAGAGAAACGTCATCTCAAAAATAATAATAATAATAATAATAAGCATTTATTTATTATTTATAGAGATGGGGTCTTATGTTGCCCAAGCTGGTCTTGAACTGGGCTCAAGAGATCCTCCTGCCTCAGTTTCCTGAGTAGTTGGGACTACAGGCACAAGCTACCATGTGATTATTTACAATGACATAACAATAATATTTAATGAGTACCAACTTTGTGCTAACTACTTTTCCATAACTGGACAGTCCTGATCAATTATAATTCTTAACTCTGTAAAGCAGGTGAACAAGTTGGATACAGTGTCTACCCTCCTGAAACTGACCATCTTTCTTGGTAACAGATAAGTTACCTAGGTACTATGGTTTGGATATGATTGGTTTGTCTCCACCAAAACTAATGTTGAAATTTAATCTCCAGTGTGGTGGTGTTGGGACCTAATGGGAGGTGTTTGGGTCATGGAGGTGGATCCCTCATGAATGGCTTGATGCTGTACTGAGTGAATTCCTGCTCTTTTGAGACTGGATTAGTTCCCATGGGAATGGATTAGTTCCTGTGAAAGTGGGCTATAAAGCCAGGATACCCCTCCTGTGTTGCTTCTTCAAACAGGACTGCTTCCCCTTTGATCTTCTCTGTTATGACACAGGACAGAAGCCAGGGCCATTCCCTTGAACTTCCCAGCCTGCAGAATCATGAACTAAATAAACTACTTTTCCTTATAAATTATCCAGTCCTGGGTATTTTGTTATGGCAACACAAAACGGACTGAGACACCAAACATTTACAACACAGAGAGATAAGCCTGAAAGGGGAAGTATTAGCTGCAATGGGAGGACAAAAAAACTCTCTTTAAAAAAAATTTTTTTTAATTTTTATTTTTTTATAGAGATGGGGTTTCACCATGTTGGTCAGGTTGGTCTTGAACTCCTGACCTCATGATCCTCCCGCCTCGGCCTCCCAAAGTGCTGGGATTACAGGTATGAGCCACCGCGCCCGGCCAAAAAACCCTCTTAACCTAGTTTGGGGTAGGAAGCAAACAGCAGTGGGTTTCTATTTTATTCAGCAGATATTTACTGAACACCTACTACCCACCAGGTACTATGTTGGTATTGGGAACATGGCTGTAAAGAAGACATGATGGGCTCTGAGAGAGTGTCAGTGGTTTGAAATGGCTTTGGTAGGGAATAGGAGAGCAAGCAAATGAGGTATTTGGAAGGATTGTCTGCTGGACCAAAGGACCACCACCTTTTCCCCTGGGCAGTGCTGCAGGCACCAGCCCTAAACTATGTGGTTAACCAAGTCCCTTTTCGGGCAAGATAAAAGATAATTAGATTGCAGCTTTCCTTTATATCCCAGTCCTGGGTACTTTCGTTTGCTCATTTAAATCATTGATTTAAGTATGTCTTAAATCAACTTTGATAACATATAGGCTGGGGCAGTGGCTTGCACCTGTAATCCCAGGACTTTGGGAGGCCGAGGCAGGTGGATCGCCTGAGGTCAGGAGTCGAGACCAGCCAGGTTAAGGTGATGAAACCTTGTCTCTACTAAAAATTTAAAAATAATTAGCTGGGCATGGTGGCAGGTGTCTGTAATCTCAGCTACTCAGGAGGCTAAGGCAGGACAATTGCTTGAACCCTGGAGGTGAAGGTTGCAATGAGCCAAGATCATGCCAGTGTACTTCAGCTTAGGCTACAAGAGCAAAACTCCATCTCAAAAAAAAAAAAAAAAAAAAAAAAAAAAAAAAAAAAAAAAAACACAAAAAAAAAAAAAAAAAAAAAAAAAAAAAAAAGCCAGGCATGGTGGCTCACACCTGTAATCCCAGCACTTTGGGAAGCCAAGGTGGGCAGATCATGAGGTCAGGAGTTTGAGACCAGCCTGGACAAAACAGTGAAACCCCATCTCTACTAAAAATAATTAGCTGGGCATGGTAGTGGGTGCCTGTAATCCCAGGTACTCTAGAGGCTGAGACAGGAGAATGGCTTGAACCTGGGAGGCAGAGGCTGCAGTGAGCCCAGATGGTGCCACTGCATTCCAGCCTGGGCGACAGAGCTAGACTTGTTCTCAAAAAAAAAGAAAAAAAAAGTAGACGGGCGTGGTGGCGGACACCTATAATCTGAGCTACTTGGCAGGCCGAGGCAGGAGAATTACTTGAACACAGGAGGCAGAGGTTGCAGTGAGCTGAGACCATGACACTGCACTCCAGTCTGGGCGAAACTCCATNAGACAGAATTTCACTCTTGTTGCCCAGGCTGAAATGCGATGGTGAGATACCGGCTCACTGCAACCTCCGCCTGCCAGATTCAAGTGATTCTTCCACCTCAGACTCCTGAGTAGCTGGGATTATAGGCATGCATCACCACACCGGGCTAATTTTGTATTTTTAGTAGAGATGGAGTTTCTCCATGTTAGTTAGGCTGGTCTCGAACTCCTGATATCAGGTGATCCGCCCGCCTCAGCCTCCCAAAATGCTGGGATTACAGGCATGAGCCACCACACCCGGGCTATACAGACATTTTTTTAGGGAGTTGCAATTTGAGAGTTATCTTGTTGAAACTGATCTTCCCTCCCTATTTACTGATTTTACTCCATCAAATATTATCTATCCAACACATTTTTTCCTATAACATACTTATAGCATTTCAATAAGTATGTATAGCATTTTCCTATAACATACTTATAGCATTTCAATAAAGCTTATTTCAGCTTTGCTAAAATAAAAGACGTAAAACAATCTGTACATAAAAAATGCAGTTTGATAAGTTTTAACATTTGTATACACCTGTGAAAACATCATCACAGTCAACATAATGAACATGTGTCCATCACCCCAAGAAGTTTCCCTCTTCATCCCCAGGTAACTACTGTTCTGTTTTCTGATGTTACAGACTTTTGTTTGCATTCTCTGGTATTACATAAATAGAATCATACAGTATGTACTCTTATTATCTAACTTCTGTCTCTTGCCATAATTACTATGATTATTTGTATTGCATGTATCAGTAGTTCAATCCTTTTTTTGCTGAGTAGTATTCCAGTGTATAAATATACCATATTCGTTTCCTTATTCATCCATCCCATGGTGGACATTGGGTTGCTTCCAAGTTTTGGGCTACTACAAATTTTAAAGGTCTTATGAACATTCATTTTTCATGTATCTGTATGGACATATTTTAATTGCATTTGGTTATATACCATTTGATTTATACTTACATCGATTACATACTCTTATTTATAGTATATTTATATTTACCTTGATTTTAGTTTGTTTTTAATTTTTTTTTTTTTTTTTTTTTTTTTTTTTTTTTTNAAGACGGGGTTTCACCATGTTGGTCAGGCTGGTCTTGAACTCCTGACCTCAGGTGATCCGCCCACCTTGGCCTCCAAAGTGCTTGGATTACAGGTGTGAGCCACCATACCCGGCCTAAATTTTTTTTGAGACAGGGTCTCTCTCTGTCTCCCTGGCTGGAGTGCAGTGGCACAATCAAGGCTCACTGCAGCCTCAACCTCCTGGGCTGAAGCAATCAGCCTACCTAATAGCTGGGACCACAGGCATGCGCCACCACTGCCTGGCTAATTTTTGTATTTTTTGTGGACAAGGTCTTCCCATGTTGCCCAGGCTGGTCTTGAACACCTAGACTTAAGTGATCCACCCGTCTCAGCTTCCCAAAGTGCTGAGATTACAGGCGTGAGTCACCATGCCCAGCACATTGATTTTATATAATCTTAAATTCAGTACCTATTGTGTTAGATACCATGCTAAGTATTTTCTTATTGTTAGAATTATGGTATATTTGCCAGGCCCAAGTTAGGAAAATACAATGACAAAAAGATTTTTTTTGATCAGTACTATCCTGGGAATATAGGACATGATTATTTTGGTTTATTGTTTGTTCATAGTTTGCTGTGTGTCATAGATTCATCTTTTCTCTTTTTTTTTTTTTTTTTTTTTTGAGACAGAGTCTCACTCTGTCACCCAGACTGGAGTGCAGTGGCATGATCTTGGCTCATTACAACTTCTGCCTCCCGAGTTCAAGTGATTCTCTTGCCTCAGCCTCCCAAGCAGCTGAGACTACAGGCTCGTGCTGCCACACCCAGCTAATTTTTTGTATTTTTAGTAGAGATGGGGTTTTACCATGTTAGCCAGGATGGTCTCTATCTCTTGACCTCATGATCTGCCTGCCTTGGCCTCCCAAAGTGCTGGGATTACAGGCATGAGCTACCGCGCCCAGCCCCATCTTTTCTCTTTATATGGCCTTTGAGAGTAAACATCAAGTCCTTTTCCATACCCCCACAGTAGCTAGTATGATATTCAGCATATAGCAGCTATTTGCTAAATTTTAAATAACTTTCTGCTCTCATTTACCAAAATAATCATTCTTTTGCCTTATAGGTTTCTTCCAAAGTGAAATCCCCCTGGTATTCAGCGTCTCCCTTCTCTTCTTCAGTGGTGAGTTTATTTGGCATAAAAGTTGACTTCTGAGAAGGAAAATTGACTGTAAAATTCAGTATAGTTTTTGGGTATCTCTATTCATCTTCTTTATGTAATTGTTATGAGAGTGTATGTGAAACTTTCTATCTTGGTTTTCTTTTCTAATATTAGATCTATATAGTAAGCATTGTCAATATTGCAAGACAGTCTTTATGATTTTAATGGCTACAATAATATTCTATCAAATAGTTATAGCCTGAATTAATAGTTTCCCTGTATAAACTTTAGATTGCTTCAGTTTTCCATATTATAAAACAAACATTTATTTATATAGTTTTTTGTTCCTTCTGGATTATTTCCCTCCTGAAATAGGATTACTGTGTCAAAAGATATAAACATTTTCATGGCTCCTGGAGATTACACTGACCCTGCCAGATAGTTGTCTTCTTCTTAACAACCTTTAAAGTGGTTTTTACAGATCATTTGTCTGTCAACCACTTCAAGTACCTAAAATCTAATAAATAAGAACTATTGCTCAAAATTCTTTCCATATAGAAGTATGCACACACTGTACCACAGTAGATCTTCACAATTTTTTGGTTCACAGACTGCTTTAAAAATTTGGTGAAAGAGGCTGGGCACAGTGGCTGACACCTGTAATCCCAGCACTTTGGGAGGCTGAGGCGGGTGGATTGCCTGAGCTCAGGAGTTCAAGACCAGCCTGGGTGACATGGTGAAACCCCATCTCTACAAAAAATTAGCTAGGTGTGGTGGTGCACACCTATGGTCCCAGCTCCTTGTGGGAGGGTGAGGTGAGAGGGCTGCTTGAGCCTGGGAGGCAGAGGATACAGTAAGCCAAGATTGTACCACTGTACTCCAACCTGGGTGACAAAGTGAGACCACATCTAAAAAAGAAAAAAAAATTAGTGAAAGTGAGCTATATCTCAGAAAAAATACATAGAAACATTAAAAAAATTTTTTTTTTCTTTTCGAGATGGAGTCTTGCTCTATTGCCCAGGCTGGAGTGCAGTGGCATGATCTCAGCTGACTACAATCTCTGCCTGCCAGGTTCAAGCAATTCTCCTGCCTCAGCCTCTCGAGTAGCTGGGATTATAGGCGCACACCACCAAACCCAGCTAATTTTTGTATTTTTAGTACAGACAGGGTTTCACCATGTTGGCCAGACTGGTCTTGAACTCCTGACCTCAGGTGATCCACCTGCCTCGGCCTCCCAAAGTACTGGGATTACAGGTGTGAGCAACTGTGCCTGGCCAAAAATCTTTTGATCATAAAGGTAATATATGCTCACAATAATGTAACAGTCAGCTGGGCCAAAAAGTCATAATAGCTAATCTTTGTTAACAGGTTGCTGCTTTTTCAGTATAAGCTTCACAATGTCATGTTTCCAGTCATGAAGTTCCAGTGTATGAATAGCAGGAGTTTCCCATTCTGAGAGAGATCACAGTATCAAGAGGCTCTGCCATATCTTAATAGATACTACACACTGGGCATGATGACTCACGATGTAATCCCGGCACTTTGAGAGAGCTGGATAGATCACTTGAGCCCAGGAGTTTGAGACCAGCTGGGCAACATGGCCAAGCCCTGTCTCTACCAAAAATACAAAAAATTAGCTGGGCATGGTAGCATGTGCCTACAGTCCCAGCTGCTCAGGAGGCTGAAGTAGGAGAATTGCCTAAGCCCTGGGGGTTGAGGCTGCAATGAGTCATGATCATGCCACTGTACTCCAACCTGGATGACAGGGTGAGACCGTATCTCAAAAAATAAAAATAAACAAGGGCCAGGTGCAGAGGCTTACGCCTGTAATCCTAGCACTTTGGGAAGCTGAGGTGGGTGGATCACCTGAGGTCAGGAGTTTGAGACCAGCCTGGCCAATATGGTGAAACCCCATCTCTACTAAAAATACAAAAACTAGCCGGGTGTTGTGGCAGGCACCTGTAATCCCAACTACTTGAGAGGCTGAGGCAGGAGAATCGCTTGAACCCGGGAAGCAGAGGTTGCAGTGAGCTGCAATCATGCCATTGCACTCCAGCCTGGGTGACAAGAGCAAAACTGTGTCTCCAAAAAAAAATAAGTAAACACAGACACATACACACACGCACACACACAATAGACAAAGATATTATGTGTCTCTGTGTCCCTTTCCTAGTGGGAACATTTCTAAAGACTAGAAGATTCCATTATCAACCTGTTTTCTTTCCTTTTGGTGAAAGGGAGAGGGAAAAATAAAGCTATTAACTAATACAAAGTTTCATGTTTTTTTTTTTTTTCAGCCAACTGTAAAGCTCTTCATTGATGGGAAATTTGTTGAATCCAAAAGTGACAAATGGATCGATATCCACAACCCAGTAAGCGAAGCTGCTTTAGGACTTCAACTTAATGAGCCTAGAATTATAGGGAAATGATAGGCAAGTAGGAACCTGGGTGTCTGTTATAAAGCACATAGTGCCACTTCTGTGAATAGATGTGCAGTGAAGAAAGTGAGTCAGGGGCAAAGGATCATGTGCTTATTTTTCTCATCAGGCCACCAATGAGGTAATTGGTCGGGTCCCTCAGGCCACCAAGGCAGAAATGGATGCAGCCATTGTTTCCTGCAAACGTGCTTTTCCTGCATGGGCAGACACTTCAATATTAAGCCGTCAGCAGGTCTTGCTCCGATATCAACAACTTATTAAAGAAAACTTGGTATGAAATCTGAATGGTATGCTTTTCCAAACTGTTGCCTAGGGCATGTTTGTCACTCTCACAGAGACTTTTTCAGCGACCCTCCCTAACTCTGCAGTAGGCAGAGACGTTGATCATGTCTCTCCCCCTTGTACTGCATCTCTTCCAGTCTTATTCTTCCTTGGCTATCTGAGAATTTAAAAGAGGAACATTCTTTCATTAATTTCTATTTATGTGTTTTCTCAATAGAAAGAAATTGCCAAGTTAATCACATTGGAACAAGGGAAGACCCTAGCTGATGCTGAAGGAGATGTATTTCGAGGCCTTCGTAAGCTGGGAGCCCCTTATGGGACTTTTGGGAAGGAGCAAAGGAAGATGGGAGGCAAAGATCCCAGAATGGGAGGTTGCTTCTTCCTTTATATAAATTTTGCCATCCCATGATATCTTTTTTAATACTAATGAAAAATGGCAGTACTCAGTATCCCTAAGACTGAATTACTTTACTCTTTACTCAAATGATCTTCCAGTCGGTATATATGTATTGCTGTATTTTCCCATTCAGAGAATCTCATTTTGCACAAACCCTTAACTTGGAAGGTCCAGTCAGTGTACCCTGCATCCCTTCATTGGCCTGAGCCACTCTCTGTCCTCAGGGCTGAAGAGAACATGACAAAGCTAACTAGTACACAGTGTGGAGAGCTGATGGCCTGACTTCTGTGTTCCAGAGGTGGTTGAGCATGCCTGTAGTGTGACATCCCTCATGATGGGAGAGACCATGCCATCCATCACCAAAGACATGGACCTTTATTCCTACCGTCTGCCTCTGGGAGTGTGTGCAGGCATTGCTCCATTCAATTTTCCCGCCATGATCCCCCTTTGGATGTTTCCCATGGCGATGGTGTGTGGAAATACCTTCCTAATGAAACCATCCGAGCGAGTCCCTGGAGCAACTATGCTTCTTGCTAAGTTGCTCCAGGATTCTGGTGCCCCTGATGGAACATTAAATATCATCCATGGACAACATGAAGGTAATTGCCCTTCTACATATGGCTATGTAATCTGACTACCAAAAAATTAAGGTGTTGAGTGATGATTGGATGTTTTAGCATAAGGAACCTACTTGTAAGGAGAAAAGGATTTACTCATTTTAACCTCCATATTTGTTGATGATTTTGCCATCTTCGTGCACTGAGGTAAATGACAGGGGAATAGCAGTGCTTCTGGTCCTGCAGTACATAATGGGACACTAGAAATCTGAATTAGGGCTAGATACAGATGAGATTAAAAATAAATTTTTTTCATGAGGATATTTAACTCAGATAATTTGTAGATCTCAGAGATACTGAAGGCCTTCTGATTCATGTAATAATAGCTAACACTTAAATAGTGCTTCTGTGTGTCAAGCACTGCTCCTAGTGCTTTTTATATATTATTTAATCTTTATAATCACACTTTGACTTAGATATTATTTTTCTATTTTTCAGAAGAGAAAAATGAGACATAGTGAAATTAAGTAATTAGCCCAAAGTCACAGTGCTAGAAAATGTCAAAGCCAGGATGTGTATACCCATCCAGGAAGACTGACTGATTTTTGCTTTAAAAATTATGCTATATTACCTCTCACATGAGGGCACAATAGTATTTGAGTGTCCTAGTACATAGCTGCCATTGAGGAAATATTGTTTTGTTCTGTTTTGTTTTGTTTTTTGAGACAGAGAAAGAGTCTTGCTGTGTCACCCAGGCTGGAGTGCAGTGGTGCAATCTCGGCTCACTGCAATCTCCACCTCCCAGGTTCAAGCAATTCTCCTGCCTCAGCCTCCTGAATAGGTGGATTACAGGCATCCAGCTAATTTTGGTATTTTAGTAGAGACAGCGTTTCACCTTGTTGGTCAGGCTGGTCTCAAACTCCTAATCTCAGGTGATCTACCTGCCTTGGCCTCCCAAAGTGCTGGGATTACAGGTGTGAGCCACCGTGCATGGCCTATTATTATTCTTTTTTTTTT